GGTGGGAGACGACAGCCCACCCATAATGAAAGGGAGACCCATCCATATGAGAAATCCTAAAAGGTGGTCAATTCACAGGTGAATGAGGACAGTTTGCAAAGTAAAAAGGGAATGGGCAAATCATTTGCTGATAAAAGAGAGTTGCCAAGGTTTACTATGCTTTAGAAGAAAAAAAAGTAAGATAAACTGGGCTCGTGCTTCAAGGCTGAATTTCTTCTTCTTTTTTTTTTTTTTGGTCTTTTTTGAGACAGGGTCTAGCTATGTAGTTCAGGCTCACCTTGAGCTCACTTTGTAGCCCAGGCTGGCCTCAAACTCATAAAGATCCTCCTGCCTCAGCCTCCCGAGTGCTGGGATTACAGGCACGTGCCACCATGCCCGGCTTGCATTTCTTCTTAAAACTACAATTTTTCAAATCTCAATTTCCTTGTCTCCTTTCTACCTAGCTTTTTATTTCTTCCATCCTGTCTTCAAGGTTTATTGATCTTTAGCATGAGTCATAATTTTCTTCCTTTTAAAAACTGTATAGCACTCATTTGTAAGCATGTACTGTATTTTGTGTATCCATTCATCTGCTGATGGACAGCTGCGTCACTTCTACCTCTTAACCACTGTGAACAATGCTGCTGTGAACTTGGGTAGACAATTACCTGTTCACCTCCCTACTTCCTGTTCTTTTGGGTGTAGACTCAGAAGTGAATTACAAATACTAAGTTTTGTGCTTATTGCTGATTGACTGGATTCCTTAACCTTGAATTCATGAATTTCTTTTTTATTTTGTTCCCAACTGAAAGACTTTCTTAAAGAATTACCATCTGTACCAAGTGTTAGATCAAGAAGCCCCTTGTGCCTAGTCATCATACAACACAGTAGTGATCATTTGGATCCTGAATCCTAGGGCCAGGCTTGTTCCTCAGGAAGCAAGGGTTCCTGTTCACAAGTTATGTCCAGCAGGGGGACATAGACTCCACACTTTTTTCCCCCTCTTTACGTTTCCCAGTCCACCCTCAGCTCTTGGGAATCTCAGCCCACTTCTGGGCTTCCTTCTATAGTCCATTCTCTTCTAAGAAGTGTTAAGACAGGGCCAAGAAGAGATGCCAGTGTATGTGGCCCTTTATCTTCATGGAAAGAGGACAGAAAGTAGCTAGTGAGGCACATACAAATCACTGGGGCAAATGTTTCAATGGAAAGAATAAAACAATCCTCAAGCCTGAGGTTGCTAACTTCCTTGAAGACAAGGACCTGTGCAGAGCAGTGGGCCAGGACGAGGAAGGGAAATAGCTCATCTCCTTCACTGGGATTCATACAGCTCCAACATCCAGAGCGAGGAAGTCTTCCTGACTCTTATTTCTACATCACACCAGATATACTAAATGGATTTTACCCTGAAGGACAGACCTGAGCCGCAACAGACCTCTACCAGGAGGGTTCCAGTTTCTCCTTGTGATCTCAGGGTAAGCTGTGTTGTAAAAGTATCCAGTCTCCTTGGCCCCGTTGTAATACAGAACTAGAGCTGTCCCAGGCAGAGAAGCAAAGTATGGAAAGAATGGCAGATTCATCCCAGAATAACTTCCAATGATGATTTTCGAAGTTCAGTATAATCTAGATGCATGTTGCTCTAGTTGTCTATCATTGTGGAACAAGCTAGTCCCAAATGTACTGATTGAAAACAACAATCTGATTGTATCGCTAGATGAAGGTAGAGCTCTGCTAGGAGATGTATCTGGCCCAGGGGGGCATGGACAGAGATAGGGCACCTGGTGGCCACAACACTGCTGTCTCTGCTCTCAATGAGGATGGTCAGAGGTTGGGCTCCTCTGGACAGTCATCTGAGACACATATACACTGCCTTTCCACTAAGGCTCTGGGCTATAAGAGAGGATTGTTCATTGACCAAGGAAGGCAGCTGCAGTCCTTTTATGACTGAGCTGTAGACACCACTTAGTGTCACCTCTCCTATGCTCTGTGGGTTCAAGTAGATATAAGTTACTCAGTTTCAAAGATAGGGGACACAAACCCTGCCTTCCAATGAGAGGAACAGCAAGAACCAAGTTTCAAAAGCTACCACGTGCTTGTATGTGCACTTGAGTGTATGATGACTCACCAAACCTGTACATGCAGATACATTAGAGGCCCCAGACTGTGACACTCTCAGACTGTGACACAGGGAGGAAGTAGAAATGCCATCCTGGTGGGCACTGGAGGTTTCCTGGATAAGGCTGGCAGGCAAGCCAGCCCTGAGGACAGCATCTACACTGTGATACAGATGCAGGTGGCTGTGGAGCAGCAGGAGTCTGTGAGCAGAGACAGAAGAAATTCTGCAGTGGCAAGTAGACTCTGACGGGTGTCAGGAACAGAGGGCCCAGCAGGTCACATCAGAAAAGAGCAGTGACAGGGTGGAGTAATCATGGTCTGAAGATACCCACAGAGGACGGTGTGAGATGGAGACCTGCAGTGACCTGAGGGAGGAGCAAAGAGCAGCAAAGGGGACTCAGCTCTCAGAGCTGACCGCTGGCTGATGGGCTAATGGCCTCATCTTAAAAAGTAAGGAGAGGCTGGGTGTGGTGGCGCAGGCCTGTAATCCCAGCACTCAGGAAGTTGAGGCAGGAGGATCATTGTGAGTTCAAGACCAGCCTGGGCTACTAAGTGAGCTCAAGGCCAGCCTGAACTGCATAGTGAGATCCTGTCTCAGAAAAAAAAGAAAAAAGTAAGGAGGCATGTTTTGCCTCAGAGGTGAGAGAGAAGGAAGAAAGGAGGCAATTTTCAAGTTCAGATGTTTAGGCAGTTTCTTTAGAAATGACTCACCAATCAAAAGTATTCCAGGTTCTTCTTGCCTGGAACAAAGAATTGGAGGAGACAAGCTAATAACAGTGCCAAAAAGTTTATTTGAAATGTGCGGGGTAAAGAGGTATGGGAAAAACCAGCTCTGTAGCATGAACTCGGGCTGAACAAAGAGAAAAAGAGGGTAAAAGCAAAAGTAAAAGCACACACTGTGGTCAGACGCTGTGCAGACTACCATGCAAACTCATGCATGATAGTGGCTTTCCCTGTGCAGCCCACATCTTGTGCGAGTGCCCCAAGTTCTATATATGGAGTTCCTGCGTTACCCTGGGATCTTTTTTTTTTTTTCTTCTGGTACCAGGAATCGAACTCACGACCTTGCACTTGCCAGGCAGGCGCTGTGCCCCTGAGCTAAATCCCCAGCCCCTAGCCTGTGATCTTGTAATTGACAAGTCCCTCTCATTTCCCCAGCCAGCTCTACCAGGCAGTATTACAGAGAGTTAAGGTAGAGGGATGGCTTGTCTTCTAAATAAGGTAAGAGATAAGCTTATTTGCTGAAATTTAAAAATCCCTGATGATCTGAGGAACTTTGGAAGCTGAAGCAGCAGTATTGCAATTTGGAGGCCAGCCTGGATAACTTAGGGAGACTGTCTTAAAGTGGGTAAAAAGGGGACTGGGAATGTAATAGCTTTTGCCTAGCATTTGGAAGGCCCTTGGTTCCATCCTCGGGACTTGGGGTGGAGGGCATTGATGAATATGCTAGACATTTTTACGAGCATTTTGTGAAAATACAAAATATGCTTTTTTGTACTTCAATATGTAGGTACATGTTCCCCAAGCTATTGTTGTAAAACTGTATTACTCAATTTTATTTTTAATGCATTTCAGAATGATTACAAAAATGTCTGTAGTAGAAAATTTGAAAACTATGAAAACATAGAAGAACTGAAAGTCACCTATATACTCTACTATTACCCATAGTCTGCTGCTAAGGGTTGGTTTTATTTTCGTGCAGTCAGTCTCTTATACAGCTGCAGTTCTGCTTTACAACACAAAATGCAAGTATTTTACATACTTGAGATTCTACACAGTTTTGCTTATGTATTCAAACACAACTTTAAAGGCTGTGGGCCACCCAAGATTTTGATACCATAACTTATTTAGCCATTCCACTATTCTGGAACATTTAGGATGCTCCTGATTACTTCATATATATATGTACATCATACATACATACATTTAGCCAGGGATATAGCTCAGTGACACAGCCCCTGCCTGGCAAACGTGGGATCCCAAGTTCAATTCCCAGCACTAAAATAAATAAATAAATAAATAAATAAATAATACATATATTCAGATGTATGTATGTGTATGATAGAGATATGTATATAGCCTTGTGCATTAATCTTGGCCTCTTAATATTTTTCCTTAGGAGAAATCAGTCCTAGCACATTTTTTAGAGCATATTAATTATATGGAATGAAACTCACTGTGGCATATTTATACGTGCATATACACTTCCATCATATCCACTTCATTATCCTCCGGTCTCCCTACCCCTGATTCCTTTACTATAAATAGCAATGCATCTCCAAGATTGTTGAAAGATGGGCTGGGTTGATAGCTAAGCGGCAAAAAGCCTGCCTAGCAAATATACGGTCCGCGTTCGACTCCCCGTACCAAAAAAAAAAAAAAAAAAAAAAAGATTGCTGAAAGATACGGCCAGGCCAAGTTGCTTTCCAGAAATAGTATGCTAATTTTTACTCTTGTCCACACTAGGTGGCTGGGGACCCTCCTCGGCATTTCCAAAGAAGTACATAGGAAAGCTGTTTCTTTTGGTAATTGGCATTTGGGGACTTTGCCTTAAAACCTAAGGTCACGTTAAAAAAAAAAAAAAAAAAAAACAACTAGCAGTCAAAAACAGAGTCTCTCTAAAACTCTCCGTGACATCCAGTCCTATGGGGGAGGGTGGTGATTACAGGAAACTCCAAGGTGCCTTTCAGTGCCTGAAGTTTTGGCATTTTTACCTCGATCGCTGGCGGAAGACTGCGGTCAGGATTTGGGGACAGGGGCGTTGATTGGGTGGAAGTAGGCGGGGAACGAGTGAGGCTGCCGGGGGCTGGGACGGCCAGCGAGGGGCCCAGACGTGCACCCACGGCGCGCTCACAGACCCTCGCACACCCGCGCACGCGCACAGGGACACGCGCGCGCGCGCCCGGGCTGCCCGGCGGGGCCACGCGAGCCCAGGAGCCTACCGCTGAGGGCGGGGGCGTCGCGGTCCGCCCAGCCCAGCCCCCTGCGCGCTCGGTCAAGTTTGCGCGCGGTCTCCGCCGGCTCTAGGTTACCTGAGCCAGCGACCACGTCACTGCCACATCAGCTGGGCTTTTATATTGCGAGGAAACAGGAAAAGCAGCCGAAGGCGTCGCGGGCGCGGGCCAATCGCGGTTGGCAGCGGCGGGCGGCGGGCCGCGCTCGGCCGGTCTGCGGCGCGGGCCTGGCGGCCTCGGAGGCGGTGGCGGGGAAGATGCTGCAGTCCCTGGCCGGCAGCTCGTGCGTGCGCCTGGTGGAGCGGCACCGCTCGGCCTGGTGCTTCGGCCTGCTGGTGCTCGGCTACCTGCTCTACCTGGTCTTCGGCGCCGTGGTCTTCTCCTCCGTGGAGCTGCCCTACGAGGACCTGCTGCGCCAGGAGCTGCGCAAGCTGAAGCGGCGCTTCCTGGAGGACCACGAGTGCCTGTCGGAGCCGCAGCTCGAGCAGTTCCTGGGCCGGGTGCTGGAGGCCAGCAACTACGGCGTGTCGGTGCTCAGCAACGCCTCGGGCAACTGGAACTGGGACTTCACCTCGGCGCTCTTCTTCGCCAGCACCGTGCTCTCCACCACAGGTACCACGGCCCCCACGCCCTCGCCTGTGCCCGCAGCCCTCCTGCTCCCGCCCCAAGCCCCAAGCCCGCCGCGGCGCCGGGCCTCGGACCCCACCCATCCCCCTCCCCGCCCCTTCTGCGGCCACCCGGGAGGCCGGAAGCCGGCGAGGTGACCACGGGGCACCGCTAGGGTGTCGCCCGCAACTCTTGGGAAGTGGTCTCCAGTGGTCGCACAGGCTGCGCCCGCTGGTGCCTTATTCCGGACGCCCTCAGCTTGGCCGGCCTCGAGGTGATGGCATATCCAGGGCTCCGGACGCGCTCACCTTCCTCCTGACCCCAGCCTAGCGGGCCGAAGCTGCAGAATCTAGTAATGACACCTTCACGGGTTATCTTCCAGACCGTGTCTTCGAGCATGCATAGGTATTTCAGCTCTTTCGTACCTTGAAGGCGGTTTGGGGGCAGCTCAGTGACATCGCTCTGTGACCTCTGAGCCCGCAGAACGGTCAGGTTCCTTTTTAAAGTTGGAGGTGGAGGTGAGAGCAGCATCCGAATGCCTACGACCCGTCAAAATGGGCCACCTTGATTCAGCAGTTACTCTAATTCAACTTTAGGTATGCACGGCTAGCGGCCAACTTTGGAGCACCATCTCCGCAGGACGCTCGGAAACTGAGCGGCGTCCGCAAGTGCAAGGAAACCAGATCCCTGCTCGGGTGCTCACACCGTGGTGGATTAGATCAAAACAGGCCGAATTTTCCCACCCATGTCTAACTTAGGTGCACAGGCTTGGGTAGAGAGATTAACAGGTGTTCATACACTGTAAAGACTCTCAAAGGAGGTTCAACACAGTTCCCTTTTTAAATTCAGGAGAGCTCACCTCAGTCTTTCAATTAATCCATTTGGGCTTGCGCAAGGTCACACTTCCTAGTTAGCAGTGAAGTCTGGGAAACTGGGTCTTGTGATTTCTCTGCCAGGAACACTGTAACCGGCTCCCCCCCACCCCCCACAACGCAGGTGAATCAACCTCACCCGTGTGACTCTGTTCTTCCTCCCCACACCCTCTGCACCTCCCAGGCTTTATTTGTTCGTAGTCTCCTTGAGCTCTATCCATTTGATTGCTCTGGCAGTTGTTCCATAATGACTAATAGCAGATGACACAAAAGGCTGGGGTGAATTACTAAACTGATATGTTTATCCTGAAACAAAAAGAAGTAGAATTCTGGCCTGAATTTTGATCTTTAAAAAACTGTGTTAAATGTAAACAAGACAAACAAGACAAACCTGTTATCTCACTTTCCAGAGAAGGTCTGCTCTTGCAGTCCTTACTCTAGTTTTTATTTCAGCAAGTACTGCCTCCATTGTCTTTGTTTAGTTCTCTTCTTCTGATTAGCCAGCAGTCATCTTGCTTTTCTTTTCAGACAGATTGTGTTCGTGCTAAAGTGAGGATCATTTCATTCTTCACAGTGGTATTTTCACTGGGCTACAGCTGGGTCACAGGGTTGGGTAAACATTTTGGGACATGATGATCACTCTCACAATTCATACTTAGAAGTCAAGATGGGAATGAGATCAGTGTTATGAGGAAAAGAACATGTTTGGTTTTTCTAGGTGGGATTTACTCTCAGTGTTATATGTACTCAGTTAAATGTCAAGTTAGTTTATCCAAGATTTGCGGTTCCCCCCCTAATTAGGAAAAATTATGGTTTCTTTTAAAAGGAGGGTAGGGACAGACATTTTATTATTGGTATTCAGATTGCATTGTAGTTCCTAAGAAAGTCTGGATTCATGCAAAACAAGGGTTCATTTAGGAAATCAGTGCAAGGGGCACTTAGGGATAAGCCTAATGAAAAGGTGCTTCTTGGTTTGTAAAACTCGCAGATCAATGAACTCCTGTTATGAATAAAACCATTCTGAGTCAAAGGCACTCCTCTGTTGGTTTTGCACTGAGCCATTATTAGGCACATTTGATGTCCGTTGTGGCTTCAAAACTGATTTTGTGGCAGAAGTGCAGTTTTTAGATTAAAGCTGGGATAGTTCATTCCTAGGAAAATGTTTTCTGGACGAATATTGGACCGCTCTAATTGGAGTTGCTCTTCTTTCAGGTAGGTACTAGTCCTGTGTTCTTTTCAAGTTTTCCAGCCATGTTGACTGCAATCACTGAGTTAATTGGCAGCCAGGGAACTGGTGCAGTCACTCCGTGGCTTGTCTGGAACGCTAATGATGGGCGTCACAAAAATGCTGTTCTTGACCGTCATCCTTGTAACACAGGTTTATGAGTGCATTTGTGTCAGACTCTTCTTAGCCTAAAACGCCCAAGTTTCTATTTCTGGAAGAAACTGGGTAGTCTTCATGGTCTTTTTGGAAGAAGCCTTTGGTTGGCCTGATGCAGGAATGTTCTCTTCATTCTTTACTTGCCAAGAACTCCAAATTCTCTCTAACAATTGAACATCTCTTTTATTTCCACTTAGAGGAGAGAGTAGGTTTTTTTTTTGCCACCCACTACGGGGCTCATGTCTGAGTCACCAATAATAAAAGACAGATTGACAAAAGAAAAGCAGACACATTTATTTAATATGAGTTTATGTGACACAGGAGCCTTCAGCAATGGATAAGGACATTCCTTTCCTTGGGGTGTAACGTGGGTTCCTTGGAGGAAGGTCAGAGAATAGTGTATGGCCTCTTTGAGGGAAGAGCAGTGAGGCGGAGGGGATAAGAAAGGCTTTCCTGCTTCTGTTGTGCTCTTTTCTTTTTTTTTTTTTTTTTTTTTTTTTTTTTTGTATTTTTGAGACAGGGTCTTGCTATGTAGTTCAGGCTGGCCTTGAACTCACTTTGTAGCCCAGGATGGTCTCAAACTTGCAAGGATCCGCCTGCCTCAGCCTCCCAAGTGCTGGGATTACAGGCGTGGGCCACCACGCCCAGCTGTTGTGCTCTTAAATGTCATGGTGCCATATTTTGGAGTAGCCTGCCCTGAACTCCATCACTCTTGATTCAAGATGGACACAGGGACCCTCACATGGGAATCATGTAAGAATGGAAAAGAGTTGACAGAGGGAAAGAAGGCGCAACAGTAAAAGGAGAACACGGTAGTTCCCATGTAACGTTTATACTGGGGCTTCCCCCCAAGCAAGGACTAAGTGATACTTGGGGAATAAGAGGAATTTTACTAATGTTAACTTTAGGAGCTGTCTACAACTTTGAGCCAAGCCATTCATTCCTGAGGACCATGTGTGAGGGTTCCTGTGAGTTCACTTCTGTTTTCAGACTCCCAAGCAAGGCCATGGCATGGTCATGGATGTTTGGTAAAAGGTAGCTTTTGTATTCATTGAAATACATAAGCTAGGGCCACCTTTTGCTCCTTTGTAAACGTGAGATCTATATGACAACTTGCAGGTTCCTCTGCATCATGTGCAACCATGATGCCCTTCTTCAGGGTGCTGCCTTATTCCTGTTTGCAAAGAGATGTGTTGAAACTCTTATTTAAAAGTGTTCAGAAAAGGAGCTTGTTGGGGTTTGTTTGCAGTGGTCTTTGATTTAGTCTAGTCAGGGGCTACTGAAGCATTGGTTTTTTTCAAAAAAAGAAAGTGGGAAAGGTAATGTGAGTGAGCTGGATTGATCCATAACTTTGAAATGGTTGCCAAGAAGAGAAACGTGCTATTACCATCAACATGTATATACGCATAGCTTTTAGAATAGAATAAACATCAGCTGCTGGGCCTGATCTGGCCTACCTACTACTGGCCTACCTACCTACTATTTATTGTGTGAACTGAGCTACAAACTGTTTTTATATTTTCAAATGATTTGGGGGAAAATCACATTTCCTGACACATTAAAGTTTTATGATAATCAAATTTCATTGTCCACGAGAGACTTTTTGCCCTAAAGCCATGCCTATCCATTTGTGTGTCATTTACAGCTGCTTTGTGGCTATAGTGGAAGAGCTTAACACAGTAGCTGCGATGGGGACTGATAATGTCCGCAAAACCTAAAATATTTATTTCTGAAGTGTGCTGAGGCCTGCTTTAGGACAGTGACCAGAAGGAACACTGGGAATAGTCCCTTGTGTTCTGGTTCCTCTGGCAAACTTTCCAGCTCCACCTCTCAGACTGGAATTCCTGGCATCACCCCCAACCACTTCCAATAACTGGGGGGTTTTTAAAGGATGTTACTCATTTTCAGGCATATCTATGACATCGCTTTTTAATTTTTTTTGAAGTGACAAAGCTCCTGTCCACATTAGGATTCCCTTATCTCAAGCGCATAATGACCATTATATCTGAAGTAGAAATAATAGCAAAAATAAATCCGCAAAGTCTGTATAGACCAGAAGAGAGCTCACGCTGATATGTGTGCACTTTCTTCCCAGGCCTTTGGTCTGTGTTCTGAGCATTTACATATCCTTCCATAAATTGAATTACTTGGTTTCTGAGCCTACGGCAGGCCAATGACACATCTACTGGCAAACCTAAATCACAGGTGGTGAAAAGACAGATAGCTGAAAAACTGAAAAATTAAAATGATACCATTTTTGCGTGTGTGTGCGGTATGGCGGGCTGTACCCACAGCCTTCACACTGAACTACATCCCCAGCCCTTCTTTATATTTTATTTTGAGACACTGTCTTGCTAAGTTGCTAAATTGGTCAGGCTGGACTTGAATTTGTAACCCTCCTTCCTCATCTCCCAGAGTGCTGGGATTACAAGTGTACACTAAAATGATAGCTAAAAGCACGCATCCTATACCTTTCTTGTGTGCAGGCTGTCTGCACTCACATGTTTGTCCATGTATGCAAGCAGCTAATGAGGTGCAGCTCCCATCATCCTTGCCTCACAGGCAGAAGTAGATCCAGGCTGGGTCGCTTCTCTGCTTAAGTCACAGAGCTAGAAATACATTGCCTTGACCTGACTCCAGTGTACTTGACCTAAGGGCCTGAGCTTTATGGAGTACCTGGGTGCAGAAGGTTGTGATGAGCTGAATTTTGTCTGAGAAGTTCATGTTGTGTTTGTGTTTTTGAGACAGGGTCC